AATCTCTCATAATCTTTCAGAATCTCTCAGAATCTCTAGAACCCTTGCGGATCTCTCAGAATCTTTCAGAATCTCTCAGAATCTCGCAGAATCTCTGAGAATCTCTGAAAAACTTTCAGAATCTCTGAAAATCTCTGAGAATCTTTCAGAATCTCTCAGAATCTCTGAGAATCTCTCAGAATCTCTTGGAATCTTTCAGAACCTCTCAGAATCTCCCAGAATCTCGGAGATTCTCCGAGAATCCCTGAGAATCTCTGAGAATCTTTCAGAATAATCCTTGAGAATCTCTGAGAATCTCTGAGGATCTCTCAGAATCTCTCAGAATCTCTCAGAATCTGTCAGAACCTGTCAGAACCTGTCAGAATCTCTCAGAATCTCTCCGGATCTCTCCGAATTCAGAATCTCTCAGAATCTCTCAGAGGCTCGCAGTGGCTCTCAGAACCATGCAGAGCCTTGGAGCTTTTCAGAGGCTCCAAAGTGGTTGGGATCTCACGCGTCCCACGTGTCCTTGACGGTTGGGATCTGAACCGTCCGGTTGGGATCTCACGTGCCCGGTTGGGATCTGAACCTTTTTCTGAGGGCAGCCCCCGAAGCCCCCAAAACAGCCCGAGAGGGCCCCCAGACAGCTCCAACACGGAGTCCACAGGGCACCTTTTCGAGCCTTCGGCTCCAAGACGCTCTCAGCCTGCTCCAAGAACACCCCAAAAGAGCCTGCGGGACCTCCCACAAAACCTCCGAGGCCTCCAAGAAGCCACGAAGAAGTCCCCAAAACGTCCCAAAACAACATGTAAAACGACCCCGTCCGGCCTCGCACGAGATCTTCTTCACCATCCGTGTGGCCGCCTACCTGTATACCGCGCAAGGTGGCGGGATGCGCCGCGCCCCCTTCGACAACGACTCGTCCAATTTTTGGACCGCCGCATGCCGTTTATGGGCGCGGGTGTTGACAGGAATTTTCCCCAAATCGTCACTTCTCCTTCTCCTCCTCCTCCGATGACCCTCCTCCGCCTCTCCACCATCCTCCCCCTCCTCTTCCTCCTCCTCCTCCTCCTCCTCCTCCTCCGCTTTCTCCTGTTTGGTACCATGTCACCATCTCCGCGTCTCATCATCAAAACCATCACCACCAACATCATCATCGCCATCACCCGCACCATGACCACCGCCATCATCATCACCACCACCACGGATCACCATCATCACCGCCACGGATCTCTGCCTTGTCGCGTTTCTGGACACATCTGATGCAACCCGTATCCGCCAATCCCATTCGGGGCCTCCAGACGTGTAAGATTCGTCCCGTGAACGGCCCCGCCCCCAGACTCGCTCGGGGATGGCCCCGAAGAGCCTCGAGCCCGCCCACCCAAAGATACAAGACAACACAAACACGCCCCAGGACAGCAACACGGCATCCCCGGGACGCTCAGGGGGTCGGCGGATGTGGCGTGAGCCGATAGGATCGGCAAATCGGATAGAACCGGGATGTGCATCGCATCGGCACCAGAGTCGAAATCGAATCCGATCGGCTGCGCCGGGACGCACAACGGCGCCATGCTTACATCGGCCAGCATCGGGTCGTCGGAACCTCGGGATCGACTCGCATCGGGGCGGCCCGATTCAATCTCGAGGCGGATCGATCGGATCGCACCGCACCCTGCCCCACTCCTTGACACGAGCTTCTCTTGAGCAGGGGCCGACCGTCCCGGCATTCCTAAGGTCCTACCACGAAGTGTTCTTAGAACCCAAACATGTTCTAAGAACAGGAAGCAATGTACTTAGGACATAAGCCCGATGTGATAAAACAAGACAGACTCCGCCAGAGATGCTCTGAGAACACTTCGAGGAAACCACACAAAGGAATCGTAGGACATTGTTTGGTGGGGCTATGGGCGAGCCACGACGCCTCGCCACCTCTTGATTTTTTCTCACCCGGAACTGCTCTGCTGACGTCAGGAGCCCAGCGAGGGCTCCCGAAAGCCAGAGACAGCAGGCTTAAGCCCTCCGCCGGCCCGGCGGCGGCGGTCCGGCCAGGCGACCCCACGGAGCCGGCCCAGACGTCTGGGCAGACGTCTGGCCGGCAGGGGGCCGCCGAGGTGCGCGCGGGAGAAGTGGCCCAATGGGACGCTGCGCGGCAGCCTCACCTTTGGACGCCCGAACTGGGTACGGAAACAGTGGATACAATGCCCAACAACAAATGTTGTCCCAAACCAGCAGCGGCCGCTGTTGGGCAGGCGGCCTTCTGTCTCGAATGGACACAGGCCGCGGCGGCGTGGACAGCGAATCCTGTTCAAAATGACAGAAACTGCTGTTGGGCATCGTAACCATTCTTTCCGTGCCCCCCGGCAGGGGGACGGAGGAGGCGAGGAGGCTCATCAGAAGACGAAGCCAGGACAAGGAGAGCATCGTGTGATAATACACCGAGGATCTCTGAGAGCCAGCGACTCCGGAGGATGGTCTCGGGCGCCGCGGCCTTCTCATAGCGTCCCGGAACGCTCTGGAACGGATTTTTCCTCCCCGTCCGACAACATCTGTGGAGCCGTACCTCGAGCACCCGACGGCGACGGGTTAGCACAAAGAGAATTCAGATCACCGAACTTCGTGCATCGCGCCCCGCGATGCGAGATGACCTTCGCCCTCTTGGAGACAGGCAGGCGCTCAGGCTCAGACCGTGACGCGCGAAGCGCGCTTATGCTCGAGCCCCTGCGGGTGACCTTGAAGAAAGAGGGGGAGCGTATGCCAAATACCGGAAAGAAATGGTAGAGGCGTGGAGGAGGCATGCGGTATCAACGTAGATTGAGCCTCGCCCCGCCCAAGCAGCAGGCGGCCAGGGAGGGGAAGCGAAGGATGATGTGAGGGGGGAGGACGGTACGGTGAGGGAGGAGGACGATTGGGGATTGGGGGATCGGTGGAGGGAGGGTGGCGGGGGATGAGAAGTCGAAGGGGAGGCGAATTCTCACCAGCCCTCTGGGCTAAGGGGCTAAGGTGGTCTAACGAGCTCGTCCTTCCCCCTTCCCAAAAACCTCGTCTTCCGTTCCAGGAGGTGTGCCTTTTGCGTCCAGGGGGAGGCGGCGGAGGAAATTCTTCTCGCATTCTCGGCTGGCCTCGAGCGCGCCCACGAAGGGGCGCGAGGTCCGGGCAAAAGGAAGTCAGGCAGCCACGGGCGGCGACGGCGACGGCGACGGCGCCTCGACAAACGACCGACGGGACGCCCGCAGCAGCACGGCCGACGGCGGCGACGGCGGCGACAGCGGCTGCCGCGCCCGCGTGGGGAGGTGCGTGTGGCGCGCCGCCCCCGGACGATGCAGCGCCACAGGGTCAAAACGCGACGAAACGGTGTAGTGTTCTAGTTCTGCTCCTGCCCCTCCTCCTCCTCCTCCTCCTCCTCCTCCTCCTCCTCCTCCTCCTCCTCCTCCTCCCTCCTCCCTCCCTCCCTCCCTCCCTCCCTCCCTCCCTCCCTCCCTCCCCCTCCCCCTCCCTCCCTCCCTCCCTCCCCCTCCTCCCTCCCTCCTCCCTCCTCCCTCCTCCTCTCCCTCCTCTCCTCCTCCTCCTCCTCCTCCTCCTCCTCCTCCTCTCCTCCTCTCCTCCTCCTCCTCCTACGCCTCCCTCCCTCCCACCCCCTCCTCCGGCGGCGGCGGCGGACGCATGTTCGCCCAGGCCGCCCGGAGCACTCCTCCTCTCCTCTCCTCCTCCTCCTCCTCCTCCTCCTCCTCCTCCTCCTCCTCCTCTTCCTCATACTCCTCCCATCCCTGCTCCTGCAAGCGTCGAGCATGTCGCTGAAACCCATGCCAGCACTCGGCGGCGAGCGAAGGGGGGAAATGAGAAAGGGCGGGCCTTCTCGGAAGGCTCAGCTCAGAAGTCCCCGTCCTTCTCAGATGTCCCCGCCGCCTTCTGAGAAGGCCTTCTCCTTCTCACGTCCCCCCCTCGCTCGCCGCCGACTGAAACCTATGCCAACACACCCCACACCGAGGAGAATGTGCAGGACCCACTCCTGCTAATTATGTCGCCGACGGCGACTGAGCAACCGAAATCCGCCCGAAGCGGCAGCGAAACCGAAACCGACCGCAAACGAAACTACCGCATGGTAACCAAAGAGGGCATAGCGACACGGCAGCGATGCGACAATCGGCAGGACGGAACCGAACGCAACCGACCACGACGCAGCCGAACCGACTGAACCGCGAACACCCTTGGCTTTCGGGTCATGATTCGAATCTTCGGCGTCTGTTCGGGACGATCCGGGCGCCCCTGGAACGCTCTCGGAGGGGAGCAACCGCTGGAGAGCATCCCGCAACTGGTTAATGACAGAGAAACAACGGAAACGTCTAAACACTTTCCTCCCTCTGGAGAGGGCCAACAGTTTACTTTGCACGGACTTGCGCATCATAGCTGGAGCGTCAATGCGGCAGTACGTATGGGCACAGGATGAACAGAACAAGTGAGCGCAGCAGGTGTGAAGTGAGGCAACCTAGAAACAGCAAAGAGTAGTAGCCCGCGAGGGCTTCCTCCTTTTCCTCCTCCTCCGCCCGTCCGACTGACTGGCGCGCCAACCAGCGCTGCCCTCCCTCCCAGCCGTGCGCCGCAGCACGTCCGTTCCTCCTACTCCTGCTCATGTTTCCTGACTTCCCTCCTCCTCCGCCTCCTCCTCCTCTTCTCCTTCTGCCCCTCCTGCCCCTCGTCCCCTTCCTCTTCTCCTTCACTCCTATTCCTCCTATTTTTTCCTTCCTCCTCCTCCTCCCCTCCTCCTCCTCCTCCTGCCCCTCGTCCTCCTCGTCCTCCACCTCTTCTCCTTCCCTCATCCCCCTGCGTCTCTTCCATATGTTCGCACTCCTTACTCTCGTCGTCCCCCTCCTCCCAATCCTCCTCCTCCTCCTCCTCCTTCTCGTCCTCTTCTTCCTTCCCTCTTCTTCCTCCCCCCCTCTCCTCATCCCCCCTCCCTCCTTCCCACCGGCGACAGACGAGGCCGAGGGCGATGAAGCCGCGCACGACGTGCGCGCGCGCGGGGCCTGCTCGTGCTGGCTGGCCGCGGCGGCCAGCGCCAGCTTCTCCTTCGGACGCACGGAAAGTGGGTACGGAGCACGTGGGCACAATGCCCAACAGCAGAGGGTATCCAAAGCCGACAGCGGCCGCTGTTTGGCAAGCGGGTCTATGTCTTCGGTGAAGAACGTCCGCGGCGGCGCGGACAGCGAGTCTGTTTCAAAATGAGCTGACTACCTACCAGACCACCCCAACCCAACCCGAAGACCCGAATTTCGGGTTGGATGGGGGGGGTACGGGTTCCGCATGTATTTTTCCAATGTTCTCCGACCCCCCTCTGAAAATGGAAGGCAGATTGAGGCCTTCGGGTTGGGTTGGGGCAGTTTGGCAGGTGCTGATGAACTGGAACTTCTGCTGGGCATCGCACCCCCTCCTCTCCGAACCCATTTCGACCGCCCCGATTCTCCGCCGCCCACGCGCCCAGCTTCGCCTCCAGGTCCGCCTGCGCCGCCGGTGCCCGGGGCCGCGGGCGCGGGGAGGTTGCGCCGACGCCGGCCCCGCGGCCCCCTCGCTCCGCCTCTGATAGGCAAGCGCGCCGCACTACTCGCAAAGTAGCTAGTCGCAAATGGCCTGGGTCCGCCGCGGGGAATTTCGATCCATGACGTCGAGGCGGACTTGTGTGATCGGGCGGTTGCGAAGAGGCCCTTTGCGAATGATGGAACGCGCTCAGTGATTTGAGGGGCAACGGAGAACGGGAAGAGACTGACGTAGGAGGGAATAACATCGGCCGGGAATCGGCGATACATCGCCGATCGACGATATGTCTCCGATAGCGGATCCGCGCGGTGCTGGGCGGGGTGGGTTATCAAACCATTGTATCGGCGATGAATGGGCAATTCGGGGTCGATGCGTCCCACCTCCTGCCTATCTCCCCCTTATCCTTGCCCCAGATCCTTTTCTGGGTTTCCTCGTCCTGTTCCTGGCCCTCATCTTCATCGCGCTCGACTTCTTTGCTTATTGCTGGTCAGTGCCATCGGGGAGCTGAGCCCGTCGAGTCGAAATGAGCAGCCCGTAAGCGACATGGAGCCCGCTACAAGGACGTGTACACTGACACCCTGCAAGGAAGACCTGGGCATGTAGAAAGAAAAGTAAGCTAGCCAGAGCAAACCGAACAGCCAACACTGTGGAACCGATAAAGGTGATATTGAAACAGACCCATTCAATAATAAGTAGTCGGCATCAACATTATCGGCACTGCTTTTGGCCTCAATCCCTCTTCGTGCCTCCTCGTCGCACCACCAGGCGTATCGGAAGGGCGTTCAAAGCAACTCTGCTGAATTGTCCCCGCGGTCTACGAACCAAGATATTAACATTCCCCGGGGTAACACAATGAAAAGAACATCGCCTCCAACATGTAGCTCCCGCTGTAGCGACACGTGCAAGCGTCATCCAATTTTCCAAGTGGTACAGGAGTGGAGGCCATACCGTTTACAAACTGAGATGTTAGCCTTTGATACGCGCCAATTCGCGCGAACAGCTTCTAGCTACTGAAATGATGGAGAGCGCACGATTTCAACATGGGGTTGTGGTTCGAGGCTTCCTCAGAAACAAGGAACGACCCGCCGTATAATTTTACGCAACAACTGCTAGGATGGACGGTGGCTCCACTTCAAAACGGGGCGCTCGCTCGAGATGTCCTCGCAAGGGCCGAGGTGTAGGATTGTGCAACGTGTGCAAGGAGGGAGGGCGGCTCCTTCTTCAGAAGAGGGCCCCGACCCCTTCAAACTTGTGAGACCCGACGTGTGCTGATGTGCAAGAAAAAAAAAACACGGACGCAGGGCGGCCCCCTTCCAAACACGAAGCGATCGCGCCCGTCAGGGCAACTTCCTTTTCAAAACGGGGTTCTCGCCTGACTGACAAGCCCAAGGGGCGTTGGTCTATCATGAAGGTACGTGCCGTAGTGACAGGGACTCAGTGTAGAGACTCATTGGGAGGCGACTTGGGACGGGAGGGTGTATTACAGCATCGCCGATGCATTATGGCTTTGCTCTTTCAACCTCTCAACCACTGTGCCCACAGATCCCACGGCGTGAGAGCACCAACAAAACGAGGTGTCGGGGGAATCCGCGTTGAAACAACCCTCATCACCTCTCTATGGGAATGCTACGACCGAAGGGACGGTTGGTGCTGGGGCCAATGCCCGTCTTCAGGACGCTCAGGGGAGTTCGAAGCGTCCTTGTTTTCGGGGTGTCTCTTGCACTCTTGCACTGCCTGCCGAACCCCAGGACATTTACTCTCCCAGAACACCCGCACCAACACGCCAACACACTTGGAATCCGGATCCTTCAACTCCTCTCCAGTTAATGTGGCTAAGGTGGGGTTGACGAATCATATTAGCCATTCCAGCACAAGGGGGTAAAGACAGGCCAGTATAACGCCGCTCCTAACCGAGCTGACCCTTGGCTCCTCTGTCCACGAGGCGGAGGCCGCACGTCCTTAGCTTATCAATGTGTGTGTGGGCATCCCTCATCAGGTGGCACTGTATGGGGCCCAGGACAACCTTCGGATGGCACTTAACAGCTCCAGCAGGTCCACCAACATCAGACCAATGGAGACTTTCCTGCCTCGGATAATTTGCAACAAACGTCATATCTGCTTGGGCATGACGCAACCCCCCCCCCAGTGCGCTTTGCCCGTGCAAATGAGCGGCTCGCAGTTGGCCGCGCACGTGGGCAGTTCTGCAGCAAACGAAGATACCAAGTATACCTTCTGCAACCGAACATCGCATGGCTTGGAGCCGTCGGGTAGCTACGCCTCTTAGCTATGTCTCTCGCGCCTGTGCCGTAGCTTCCTGGCGGGGCAGCTACTGCACGCGAGGTAGTCGTTGACTTCTTGAACTGCGACTTGCGCGAGCGACGCCGACCTGAGCGACGCCTTACTTTGTCGGTCCGAGCCTGGTTCCTGGCAGATCGAACACCTCCGACCGAGAAATCGACTCCCAAATTCGTGCCAGCGCGCGAAGATCGGAAATCCCGCTGCTTGAGGCTGACACTAACTTCTTTGGCGAGGGCCGCGATACTTGCTACCGTCAGGCCCTTGGTTCGCGACGAGATGACCAGCTCCCTGGCCTCCAGCTTCCCGCAGCGACTCTGGGTGGCCCGGACGACCATCCTCCTGGCATGGGCACGCGTACCAATAACTACCCTGCAGCGCCATATCACCCACAACGCTGCAGAGACGACATAGCATGCACCTCCCGGAGATACCATCCAACTCTTTCAAGGTAAGGACCCCGAGCGGAGCAGTAGCAGGCCAACTGCGCGCCAAGAGGGTAAAAGACCCGACTGCGGGCGGCGAGGCCCCGAGTCCGACGAGCAGCGCTCTGGCGCATCCACGCGTCTAACACGGGCACGCAATCCGGCCCGACCACGTGCCCCAAAGCCAGAAATGGCGGCGGCGTGCCCAGCAACTGCTATCCCACTTAGTGCGATAAAGGGTTCGGTCGCAGAACAAAGGCAGGGGGCAGGCAGGCAAAGTAGACAGAGGTACCATGCGAGTCTAGCCCCCAGGAGCAGCAGCAGCAGCAGCAGGGAGGGAACCGGAGCAGCGGGAGAGAGACAAGCATGATGAGGATGAGGAGGAAGGAATAGGGAAACGAGCAATGACATAAACATAAAAACTCGGAGGTCCGCGCGGATTTCTCGGATCGGCGCTGGGGCCCCCTGGCGGCGCCTCCAGAGCCGCCAATGGCGCGCTCCGCGCGCCAGGGAAGGGGGTCCAGCGCAGATCCAAGAAATCCGCGCGGACCTCCGAGTTATTATGTTCGTTCCCCTAAGGAAGGGAGGGGAGAATGGAACAGAAGGCGGAGGAGGAGGAGGAAAGAGCACGGAGAGGCGGGGAGGGAGGGAGATGATGGGGGAGAGGGAGGAGGAGCACGGGGAGGAAGGGGGAGGAGCCGAGAGAAAGGAGGGAGAGAGGGAGGGGAGGTTAGAGGCAGGGAGAGGCAGGGAGAGGAGGGAGGGGAGGGAGGGGAGGGAGGGAGGGGAGGCCGAGGAGGACCCAGGCGGACCGATCTCCCAAAAGGACCCCCACGGGGACTGTCCGCGCGGCGGCGCGCCTCCCGCGCCCGCGACTCCGTCGCCTCCCGCTCCGCGGCGGCGGCGCGGCCGTCCGAGAGGGACTGCGCCGGGGAGGGCGGCCCTTGCTGGCAGGAATGCAAAGGGAGAGGTGCGGGCGGAGGGACAGGGGAGGAGCAGGAGAGAGAGGGCATGCTCAACCACTGCGACGAGGCGTCGCCTGTCTTCCTTGGGCGAGCAAGGGGGGGTAAGTGAGAAGGAGAGGGCTTGCGCCAGGGAGCGCGGCTCTTGCTGGCGGCGGCGCGGCCGCCTCCAGTCGTCGGCGTCGGCGTCGGCGTCGGCGTCGGCGTCGGCGGCGGCGTCGTCGTCGTCGTCGTCGCGGTGTCGGCGGCGAGCGACGGGGGGGGAAGCGAGAAGGCGAAGGCCAGGTCAGAAGGCGGCGGGACTTCTCAGGAGCCCCCTCGCGCCGCCTGAGAGGCTTTCTTTCGCGGCTGCCGGGGATGCCTGTAGCAATTCTCAGAAAGCCAAGAGGAGACTTCCGAGACTTTCGAGCCTCACTTTTCCCCCCCCCCGGGCTCGCCGCCGATGCTGAGCATCGCTTCGCCGGTCCCTGGCCTCACTGGCGTGGCCTGGGCCTCGCTGGCCGAGCTGCCCCCCAGTAATGGGGGCGTGTGCCGTTCCCTTCGGGTTTCGAGGGGCACATCCCCGACCGGGGTGGTGGGGCTGTGGGGCTGTGTATAAAAACATACACACTGTTGGTAAAACACACACACACACACACACACGCACACACAAAATACACACACAGTGGGTAAAAAACACTCTGTGGGTAAACACACACACTGTGGGTAAAAACACACACAGTGGGTAACCACACACACACACACTGTTTGTGTGTGTTTTTACCCACGGGGTGGGGATTGGGATAGGGATCGATATAACGATACTGCCGTGCGGGGGCGGTCGGCGGGCGGCGCTGGGGATTGGCACGGACTCTCTCGGACGGGCTCCCGCGCGACGGACACGTCTGTGTCCGTGCCCTCGCGGCCTGGACTCCTCTCCGTGGCTGCGCAAACGAGCCCATGGGCACGTTCGCGCGGGGCATCCGAGCAGAGCCGCGGAGCGTCCATGGGATCGCGGCCACGTGGATGTGGATACGTCTCCCGTCCGCAGTGGGTTCCAAAAAGCTCAAGGTACTGCCAGAAGGAAGTCCGAAAACAGAAAAAAAACATTAGTGGGCACAGAAGCGTCTTGTCGGAACCCCGGACGCTGGAGGACCAGCCGTGGCAGGGGGGCACGCGGAACAGCGAGCCCTTTCCGACGAACCCAAGCTGCTCCTTGTAGCAGCGTTTTGCCCGTGCGGTCAAAGCATTGCCATCATACCCCTGGTGTAAGAGCAGTGTCGGGGGATCCGCACGGATCTCTTGGATCGGCGCTGGATCCCGCTTCGCTCGCCAAGGAGGGGGTACGTCGCCGATCCAAGACATCTTCCTTTTCCAGATCTGCATATGTTCATATCTGTGTATATATATATATATATATTCATAGTAATTGTCTGCTTATACATCATTTCTATACATCGCAAGGTTAATCTACTCGTTCGCTCGTCTGTCGAAGCCGCTTGCGCGGCATGTCACCACCATCCACTGCCAAATGCGAGATGGCTGCAGTGGCGAACGGACGCGCAGCGATGCCCGAGGACTTCGCCGGCCCCACAACTCCGCGCGGCCTGCACCGCGTGTGGCTCGAAGCTCGCAGATCCAGGGACGCGACGAAGCAACGAGCTGCCGCGACGTCCACCCAGAACGTAAGAGTGACCCTGGGTAAGAGTGACCTTTGGTGCGCGGCTTCGTGGGGGGCGCGAGGAGGCCAAACACAAGCGCGCAAGACGCTAATGTCGCGTCGAACGCGGCGATCGGGGGACCCCAGTGAGCGCGCACCAAAGGTCACTCCGGCGAAGGGTCACACTCTTACGTCTAGTCGGCAAAGGACGCCCTGCCCGAGCTGCCTCGCGGGGACCGACCGACCGACGGCCCCCGAATCTGTTCTGTTTCGCTGTGCGGCGCAGGGCGCCCTCGGCAGGCAGCCGGAAGCCCTTCTGGGCCTCACCTGCCCCCGGGGGCGCGACGATCGTCAGGGAGGCAAGCAGGGAGGCACGCGGATCGAGCACGCCCTATAGGAGCACGAGGAGCACCGAGATCCTTCTGTGAGCATCGTGTAACCGATGCCCATCCCCAGCGGCGCCGATTTCCACCCCCCTGGATGGGGATGTAGGCCGCTCCCCTTCGGGTTTCGAGGGGTGTATCCCCAACTGGGAGGGGTGATTTGGTGGGGGTCTCGAAGGGGATGGGGATGGGGATGGGGGGTCGGATAAACGGTACTGATTCTGGAACAAGGTGGACGCTGCTCCACGTCTGGGTAACGTCGGCTCCCTCAGGGGCCTTCGGGGCCGTCCGAGGCCCCCGAGGGCCTTCTGAGGGCCTTTCCGCGCAGCCTCGGCGCAGCCTGCGGCAGCAAGCTCCCCGCGCAGCTTCTCCGAGCGGCTCTCCGAGAGGAGACACTCTGCGGGCCGCGGGCGATTGCGGGGCGGGACACGCAATACCAACGAACTCAGCAGCCAGTCCACACCGAGTAATTAGGGAACTGGAAGAGTAAGTGGGCGGCTACCGCAGTCGCTCGAAGGCTCCGCTTAGCGGGATCCGCCCAAAAGGGCCCTTCACGCGGAGGCCGTCCCGCATGGAGATGATTCGCTGCAGTCGTGCTCGCCCGACTGGTCTCCCAAGCGACCGTGCCACTGCATGGCTCCCCTTTCAACACCGGGGACTGCCGGGAGGCAATTGCGGGGCGGGGAGCTGGCGACGGCGAGAGAGAGAGAGAGCAGTCGAACAACCAGAGCGGGAAGGACGCACCACCGCCGCGGTCAATGGGCAGAGGCTGCACGGACGGATGCCCGCGTACGCGCGCCCGGGCGCGGTCTCTCAGGGGACGGAGCGGCGACGCCACAACGACGAGCGATTGGTCACAGGCTGAGGACATCGTGAATGGCTGCAGAGTCTGCCAGGCTCTCTCCATGGAGGTAACGCAGGACACGCTCACCTGTGCAAACAGACCGCCGTGGCCTTTCCTGAAGCCGCGGTCGGTGCTCGGGCGGACCTGTCTTTGTCCGCTCGGGGCAAGGCGCAGAAGCAGAGACAACGCAGGGATGCATGGGCACTCTTGAAACATTGAAACATGCGCACGGAGGGCAGCAGAAACGGCCAGGCGGGAATCCATCCGCGCCGTCGGCAACTCTGCGGCAGACCGGTGCATTTCGCAACGCGCTGGAGCGGCCACTTAATCATCACGTGTCGCGTCCTCGGCATCCTCGCGTCCTCCTCATCCTCCTTCACCTTCTTATTTTTCTTCGCCTCCTCCTCGTCCTCCTCCTCGTCTTCGTCCTCCTCCTCCTCCTCCTCCTCCTCCTCCTCCTGCTCATCATCCCCCTCCATCGCGTCCTCCTGGTGCTCATGCTTTCATGCCCACCTTCCTCCTCTTCAATATCATTCCGCTTCATCGTCCTGCCTCTCTCACAAACAAGGTGGTACCGCTTCCTCGTCCGCATCGTCCCCATTATCCACTCACTCATTCCTCTCCTTCTGCCCTCTTTCTCTACTTCCTCTTACCGTCCTCTCTCCCACCCAACGCCCCTCGAACTCCTGACCCCGTCCTCCTCCTTCTTCTTCTTCTTGCCGCTTTAGAGCGGTCGGGAGCGGCCGCGGCCGGACTAGGCCGCGGCGGGACCCTACCGGCCGAGCAGCCACGGCCACAATGGCTTGCAACTACTTATTAAGAGAGGACACTTTCCCGTCCTCTCTGTCCCCCCGTGGCCAGGACGCACCAGGCGGGGCAGCCGCGTGATGGTAGGAGTGGCGCTCAGCAACTCCTCCAATTTAGCTTCGCCTGGCCTGGTGCGACCTGGGGGGGTGGGAGGGTGGGCGGCGAGTGAGGACCTGCCTCGCTAGCCCCCCACGCCGTCCCGACCCCCTTGCGATCATCGCGGACCTGCCGCGCATGCATCGCAAGGTGGGGGATTGGTGGTTGCGGGGATGTGGCCAGGCTTGCTGAACGCAGATCCCTCGCACCAACATGTTCTTCCTCCTCCCCCTCCATCCCGGGTGCAGTTCTCCAGCCAACCCATATGCCTCTCTTTGCATGCGCCACTTCACGCGCTATCCCTGTCCGCTGGCATCGACGACAACGACACAGCGGCGGTCGCAACAGCGATGGCGACGACGACGACAGCGACACCGGCGACGACGACGGCAACGACAACGAAGGACGAAGTCATCGGCGGCTTCTGCGGAACACCGCACGCGCATTTTTACTCGCGAAGTGCCTCGCGCAGATGGTGGCTAAGCATGGCCACGGCGGCCCGCTGATCTTCAGCGCACCCCCCGAGCCACCACATCTCCCGCTGCTGTGCGTCTGGGGGAAGCTGCGCCCCAAGGCGGCCTGCCGAGGTCGCTGCCACACGCCGCGCGCGCTGGCAGTGTTTGACGAGGTGGGTCGCGGTCTCCTCCTCCGCCCCGCACAAGCGGCACGGCGGCCGCGCCCCGCGCAGGGTGCGGTGGAAGCCACCTGTGATGCGCATGGCAGCCCAAGCCCGCAGGTGTTCGTCGGGAGTGCCTGCCTCTGCGAAATCGCACGCGCGCCATCTTGTGGTGTCGTGGGCTGCAAGATGGCCACGCTGTGGTTCCTGCGGTCGCCACTTCTCGTCTTCTGCTGCTGCTGCTGGCTGCACCAGCCTGGTGTTGTATGTTGAGCACCAGCGTTTCCTCTTGGCGCGGGTGGCGCCAAACTGCGTTGGAGCGGCATCGCTCGGGGACACGATGCTGTGCTTGCGAAGCCAGGAGCACACCCACGAGCTCCAGGTGCCTGGGCGGTCTGCTGCCACGGCGCACGCCCGTGCGGCTTCGCTGTAGCGGTTGTCCGTGGCGACGCGAACCCAAAGCATGGCTGCCCGCGCGCGGAACTGCGTAGACCAGCGGGATCCCCATCCCATCTCGTGAAGTATGACCGCTCTCGGTGCTGGGCCTGAGATCCCAAACGGCTTGCGAGTAAGGGTCTCTTGTGCGTGGTTCAGCGTTTTGTCAAACACGGGAAGGTGTACGCAAAGCTCGGCACCATACATTATGGTTGGGAGTGTTACCATATCAATACAGTCCCGCGCCATGCTGAAGCCCAGGTCTGCTTGGGTAAGCGCCGCTGCGTGCTGCGCCCCGATTGAAGCGGCCGCGCTGGCGATCTCGGACAGGTGCTTCTCGCCTGGCCTGCCGCTGCCGCGCCAGACGCCGAGGCACTCGTAAGACTCCTGGAAAAGTGCCTGGCCAACCTGGCGCTGATCGAGGATGCCTGTCGCTTGCACTGCTGTTTTGCCAGGCCCATACCGCAAGCATCCTTGGAAGGTGCTTTCCGCCACGCGGTACGTTGCAAGCGTGGTCTGGCATTGTGCTCGCGAAGCTACCTTGGTCCTGATGTCATCCACGTAGGCCCGGGCGCCTACGCGAACTGTGGAGGAAACATCGAGGAGGCGCAAGCGGACCGCGTCCGACGACGCTGATTGCATCACTTGCTCCCACGCTTCAGGTTCCGAAGTCAACACGCACCGCCACTGCTGCACTTCGTCATTGTCCAAGCATTTGGCGTCGCTGCCGTCTCTGGCGCACTGGAAGGCTTCCAGTGCGGCGGGCGGAGGATTCAGGCCAACGCCGACTCCTGCCGAGGCGTCAATGTTCTCTACCTTCTCAGCTTGCGCTAGGCAGAAACAGACTGGGCTTAGCTTCCTGCCCTGCGGCATGCCCGTTGCCAGGCGGAACACGTTGGACGCATGACCGTCGGCTGTGATCCACAAGCTGGTTTGTTTCATCATTTCCTCGGCCAGGAGCCAGAAGCGGCCGGCGACCCCGCCACGGACGCTGAGTGCAAGGAGAGCCTCCGGCCTGCTCTGGTTGTCGAAGGCCTCGCGCTCATCACTGTGGAAATCGCCGCACGGCCTCCCTTGCGACACGAGCGTGGCCCGCGTTTCCTGGTCAAGCAGCGCTGCAATCAGGCATTCGCCCATGCCGTCCTGCAGAAGCCCCAACGCAGCCGCAAGTGTGTCCGAGCACCTTCCATACCAGAGCTCTTCCTGCACGCGGGTTTCCAACGTGCTGAGTCCGAGCTGGCGGTAACTGTCGAAATCCATGTGGTTTCCCTGGCTTGCCTTTCATATAGGCTGGTTGGCGGTACCATAATGTTGGTACGAGACCGCGGCGGAGGCACAGATTCTGGATGGCCAGCAAGCTGTCACGGGTGGGGGGGTGGCCACACTTGACCACCATGTACGGTAGGCCGCTGCAGTGGGCAGTTGTCTTGATGCGTCCGACTGCTTGCGCCATCTCAGCCACTGTGTAACTTTCCTGGGATGCCCACCTGCGAGTCGCCACCCGCGTTTCCGAGCGGATGGCGTCCACTCGGCGACTGACATCTGCAGCGCGAGCTTCGTCCCAGTGATGGCGCCATGCTGGGGCATCGCGTTGTTGGATGTATCGGGACGCCCCTTCTAAAACCGCCGACGTGCCTTGCAGCAGAAGGTGGGGATCAGTGGGGTCCACCATAACCTGCGGCAAGTGGCACGGTGGTGCTCCGAGCAATCGCTTCACGACACTCAGCTCCGACCCAGTCCGGGACGCGGATTGTTCCTGAATCCACTGTCTGAAGCGGATTCGCTGCTCAAGACGGCTGCTCGTCTGTGCCTCGCGGTATGCATTTCGGGCGTCTCGGAACGCCATCCTGCCAGGCCCTGTCTGCGCCGCGGGTAGCCTTTCGGGGGGGGGGGGGGGGCGGTGGGATGTGGCGTGGGTGCCCTGGCGACTCTTGCTCGCCAGAGGCCTTTGGCGTGCGGTGATCTTCCCTGGCATTCCTCTCTGGCACTCCTCCCTGCACTCCCTCCTTTTGTATCCGACGCGTTTTCAACCTTGCGCTTTCCGTTGCAATATGTGCGAAGACACGGCTTTCCTCCTCCTCCTCCTTCTCCTCCCTCCTCCCTTCCTCGCTCCCTCCCGCCTTGCCACCTAGACTCTCAATCTCGTCCCTCCTCCTCCTCCTCCTCCTCCTCCTCCTCCTCCTCCTCCCTCCTCTTACTCGTCCTCCTACTCCTCCTTGTCCTCCTCGTTCTCCTCCTCCTCATCCTCCCTCTCGCCCTTCTTTTCCGGCTCCTTCCTGCCGCACAGGCTCTCGTCAAGTCCTCCTCCACGCACTCTCCAGAAGAGCGGGAACAAAGAGATGGGCACGAGGCGAATGACAAGCGGGGTCCAGACAGGGGACGGAGCCTCCTCCTCCTCCACCTCCGCCCGCTTACCCCCCCTCTCCTTCTGGCCATCGCTCGGACATCCATTATGTGTGCATTTGTCGGTGTCGCGCGCGCTTTTCTTTTGCTCGCTGATCCAGGAGGCTCCTAGATGGTCCCCGCCGAGAGAAAATGCACACGTCCAAGTGATGGCAAGCCCTCCTCCTGTCCCACCCTCCACCCTCCCGCCGCCCCCGCCGATGCTCCCCCCCCAACCCCCCATCCCCCGGGGCTAGAATCGACCACGGCACCCGGCCGCGTCGAGACCCCCCAAGCTGTGGTACCGCCAGAGGGTAGGAGACAACTAAGGGGAGGTCTTCGTCGGAAGGATCGGGGAGAATAAAGCTCCATTGGAAGGCTGCTACGCCAGATTACAGTCGACCAGTATCATCAGGATGCACGATAAGGATGCAAGGGCCTTGGAAGGCCGTTTCGAAGCTTTCCGAGCGGGGCGCGGCCCAAAAAAGTGGCCAAGGATGGACCGATGAGGCAAGAATGCAAGGGAACCCTTGGGAAGGTTGCCCATGCTTACCATACGAGGGAACTGCTCTCGGACCAGGGCAAAGTCAATTTTTTTGACCTCCCAGGAGTTGCATCCGAATCGAATGTCGGGTCGGGCGAAAGGGGGGGATAGCAAAGGGGGGGTTTGAAAATCAACTCACGTAGCTGATTTTACCGGCGCCGGGAGGCGCCCATGTATCGAGGAATGGGCCCGGCGGCGGGGCCGAAACCAGCTGCATGCTGCAGATTTCGTAATCTCCCCTTTCCCAACCCCCCCTTTTCGCCCGACCCAAGAATGATTCGACGCTCTTGGAAGGACACAGGGTCTTTTCGCAGCCTTTTGCCTCCGGGGGCCTTCGCCGGGCACCGGGCCGTCCAGGAACGACCGAGGAGGACGAGAAGCCGGCCCCAGGGAACGAATTGTCAGAGAGCACCTCGAGGAAGCCTTGGTCGTCCCGATGGCGCCCAATAGCGCGCGCAATCGCGCGCAACGCGGACAGCAAGCATCTCCCTCGCATGCCGCTCTTGGGCGTTTCTTGAGCGCTATCCGGCGCTCTGGCGCAACATGAAGGCGCTTTTCGGGTGCAACTCGCCGATGCGTACTCAATCAAGGACGAGCGAAGGCTTCCGTGATTTTCGATCTAGGAGTCGGGACCTTCCGCATGGGAAGAACGGAGCGCGACATCCGCGGGTGACTTCAGGAGCAACCCCTCGCGAGGCCCAGGGCTCCAGAGCGGCACGAGGAGCGGGGGGGGCGCCCAGGAGGCACACCTCTCTGCTTGCTTGCCATCGCTCGGACCTCCGTTGCCTGTTTTCGTGGGAGGATCCGAGATGGAAATCGGGCCTGTCCCTCTACAGGAGAAATACTCAAAAGTAGTCAAACATAGTCCGGGGACGATCATTTGACTCTTCATGAGCATTTCTAGGATAGTTATCGACATATTTTGAATTTATTATCTGACATTCCCCTGTAGGGGGACAGGCCCGACCTAATCCAAGATGCTCCTGGATGGTCCAAGATGCTCACAGATGATCCAAGATTTGGGTCGGGCATGTCCCCGTACAGCGGGGTCTTGGACGATCAATGAGCAACAGTCAAACAATGCACCGAAAATGCTAAGAAATTGTCACAACATCGTTCCCCGTCAATGTTTCGACTATTTTTGATCATTCCCCATGTAGAGAGACAGGCCCGACTTAATCCAAGATTTACCAGCCTCGAACATATCCCTACCCCTAAGATTGACACGCCAAAAAGCGATGACAACCTTAGGGATGCGCCCTCAAAAAAGTAGGGAAATCCCTAAGATTGGCATCGTGATGAGGAGATGCCCAGCATAGGGATAGGGATATGTCCCAGGCTGGTAAAAGGTGCTCTTCAGTGGTCTCGAGCTTCTGGCGCTGACCTCGCCGAGAGGCACGCACGGCGCCGAGGGATGCCGAGTCCTCCCGTGCACCCCTTCGGGCAGCAGCGCTGGCGCGCGCGTCGCCGCGCCTGGTCCCCCTGCGCCTTGGCGACCTCTGCCCGCAGCGCCGCGCTGGAGGCCGTGAGGGCGGCGATCTCGCTGTCCTGCGGAGGCGGGCGCGCTCTAAGGGGTGCGCCGGCCACGTCCGGGGGAAGGACGGGCGAGAAGGGTGGCAGGGATGGCGACGAGGATGTCGGCGAGGTCGAGCAAGAGAGGTGATGATGGTGACGAGGACGGCGGCGATGGTGAGGAGGCGAACGTGATGACGATGATGGGGAGGGGAGCAGAGGGTGATGAATGGTGAGGAGGGAGCGTGATGACGATGGTGAGGAGGAAGTACCTTGGGGAGCGAAGGGTGATGCTGATGCTGATGATGCTGATAGTGAGCCCCGCCTCCCTGGAGGGCAAGCCCAGCCAGCCATCCTCCAGGACGCACTGACGGCGAGTACCTTGCCCACCTTGCCAACAGCAGCGGCAAGGGTAGACGGGTAGGCTCCAGCACAAGGCCACAAGGAGCCAGCCGCGGCGAGGAGGGGGAGGAAAATGGGCATCGCGAAATGGCTCCGAATCAGATGGCGGCGGACGCCTGCCACGATGTGGATGAGGACGCCGATGACGGGATGATGTGCCAGGAGAACGAAGAGGGCAGACGACGATGACGGACACGGGGCTGCGGACGACGACGACGACGACGACGACGACGACGACGACGACGACGACGACGACGACGACGACGACGACTACAGCGACCAGGACGACGACGACGACGACGACGACGACGACGACGACGAGAAGGACGAGGCCGAGGGCCGAGGAGGGTGGGGAGGAGGAGGAGGAGGAGGAGGAGGAGGAGGAGGAGGAGGAGGAGGAGGAGGAGGAGAAGGAGAAGGAGGAGGAGGCGGAGAAGGAGGCGGAGGAGGAGGCGGAGGAGGAGGAGGAGGCAGAGGTGGAGGCAGAGGAGGAGGAGGCGGAGGAGGATAGAGGGGGGGGCGAGGGAGGAACAAGCGGGCGGGGGGGGGCGAGATCCTTCGCCTCCGCCTCGGCCCTCACGGCGAGCTCCGCCCGCTTCGCCTCGCCGGGTGGGCGGTGGCGTGGCCGAGGCGGCGGAAGGGGGGGGGAGCGGGCGCGGCCGGCGGCCGAGCGAGCTCTGGAGCGCGTCCTGCGCGGTCGGTGCGACCGCGTGTGCTCGCGGCGAGGGGCGCGAGGGATCTGCCTGCGCGTCCGTCGGCAGAAGCAGGTAAAAACATGCAGCAGGAAGGCGGATAAAGTACAGTCGATCCGTACCACAAGGATGCACGATAAGCACGCAAAGGCCCTGGAATACCGTTTCGAAGCCTTTTCAGCGGGGCGCGGCTAGCGATAGTGGCCAAGGATGGGCCGAGGAGGCAAGATGCAAGGGTACCCTTGGGAAGGCTACCCATCCTTCCTATGCGGGTTAATTGTAGATTGGGTTCAGGCCTTCCCAAATAATAAACAAGCACAGTAAGAACAGGTCGGTTCTTGAAGTGGGAAGGCGCTCGAAGACGTGTAGCGCATGACCATGCCATGGCATCGTGCCAGAAAGGGCAGGGGCGATCTTGGGGAAGAGTGTGGGGTGAGGGCGAGAGGGCGATTTTGCGGTGAGGTGCGAGAGTGGAAGCGGAGGAGGGGGAAGCGGGGCGCAGGAGGCTCGGGCATTAACTAATAGGGGGCGATAGACTTTTTGCTTGGGGTGGAAACGTTCACCTTTCGTTCCCCTACGGGACACCAGGGGGCCTTTGGGGCCGCTTCAGGGCACAAGAGGTGCACCTTTCCTCGACCCCCCTATTTACCGCCTCCCCCCCCTTACTCATCGCCCGCGAGGTATGAGGTGTGAATGCGGGGGGGATGGGGAGGAGTCGGAGGGGAAAGAATGAGAAGACGAGACGGATGACGATAGCATGTCCGCGCTACGCTGGGATGTGACTTGAAATGTCATGACAAGATATGGTGAGGCGACAGGCTGACAAGCTGCACATGCTCCTGGCAAAACACATGGATTGGTTGTTCTTGGACAAATGTTTCCCGGTATGCACCAGACCGCTAACAGCCATAGCCCAAGAATCGCCCCACACGAGCGCGATATACCATTGAATGGCGCATGCACGCATGTTGACGTCCTGATACAACAAACTCGAACCTCGACGACGTGTACCCTGGTACGTGAACCGCCAGACCTTGCACAATCCCCGCCCTCTGACGTCCCCAGAGGCCCTCGACCGCTTATCTATCACATGACGTTGACGCCGTGCGTGGCTGGATCTTTGATGATCATGAACTTTCGCAAGGTCCAGCGCGGGATTCTTGTGCCGGCGCTGGGCTACCCCCCCCCTTCTCGGGGATCTACTGACCTGGTCAATCCAGACCCGGGTCAGTCAGGCCTTGCAGGATCCTGCAAAATCATGCAGGATCCTGCGCCCAAGCCAGGGCCGCCTCCGCCTCCTCCTCCTCCGCTTCCTCCTCCTCCTCCTCCGCCTCGTTCTCCTCCTCCTCCTCCTCAATGCAATCCTGACATTGCAGGATCCTGCATGATCCAGGGCTCTGACTGACCCCCGTTTGCACTGACCCCCGTCTCCTGAGCCCCGAAACCTTCCCGCGCGCGCAGCGCGCTGGGGGTTGATGCCAGAGGCGCCGCCAGGGGGGGACCCACCACCAACCCCACAAAAACTGTGAGAGGGCCGTGAAGTTTCTTCTTAGGTCTGGCATGTCCTCCTACAGGCGAGGTGTTGGATGGAACACAAGAAATAGGCAAGATAATCACACACACACAGTGAAAAAAAAACACGAAACATCGTCACCACACTATTTCTTCACTATTCTTGCATATTTCTCCTGTAGAGGGATATGCCAGACTTAAGCGTAGCGAGAAGGCGACACATGCCAGGGCAGCGAGGGCTACAGAAAAGGGGCACTCTCGGGCCCCTCAAGGGGCCCTCTGTGGCAGAAAAGGGGGCCTCTGGGGCCCGAGAAGTGCACCTTCCTCCCACCCCCGCCCCTTTTATCGCTCCCCCAAAAACTTGCCATCCCTCGGACATCCATTCCCCGTGCACTTCTCTGTTTCGTGAGTGTTTCTGCCGCACGAGGACCCAAGATGCCCCGTCGATAGTCCTCGCCGTGAAAAGTACACACGTCCGAGCGATGCCAAGCGAAAGGCCGTCCACTGCGACAGCCGCCGTGGGACAGGAAACCCCGATGGTGGAAACAGCGATGCCATACTTTCTGTCCTTCGCCCGCGAGGCATGAGGCAGACGGGTCCCGATGGCATCGGATCCTGGACCCTGGGGCCTGCCCAGGAACACGCACCCCGAGGGACGTTTTTCGCCTCTCCCGCGGGCACCTGGAGGGCACGCGGGGCCCGAAGCCAGCGAGCAGACCTCAGGACCCGTCGCCCTCGAGGGCCCGCTTCGTGGCGAGCCGCTGAGAGGCCTGGAGACTCCTGCCCCGCCCCCTGCCCGAAAACCCACATCCTCGAGCTTCGACCCTCTGGCTTCGACGCCCGTCCTCCTCCTCGTCCTCCTCCTGCTCTCCTCCTCCTCCTCCCCCTCCTTCTCCTCCCCCCACCTCCTCCTCCTCCTCCTCCTCCCCCACCTCCTCCTCCTCCTCCTCCTCCTCCTCCTCCTCCTCCTCCTTCTCCTCCCCCACCTCCTCCTCCTCCTCCTCCTCCTCATCCTCCTCCTCCTCTTCCTTCTCGGGACCAGGTCTTCGCCTTGAGTGTGTTTGCCTGGCGGCACCGGGGCCCGGCGAGGGCCCCCAGAGGCCGAGAGAAGAGCAGCAAGCGCCCCGTGGTGGTCTTGGCCACGACGCGATGGGGGTCTGGAAACCTGGCCTCGGCCCTCGACGACCTCGATGCTCGTCGCCGTCACCATCCGTGGCCCCGTGCCCTCTGGGCAGTGGAGGGCAGCTTCTGCTCGTCGCGACCGGCTAGCTCGGTCGCTACCGCTTGTGCCTCCAACTCCCGCATGGGTCGCTACAGTCGGGGCGTTGACCTAAGGAACCCTAAATAAGGAACGAGGCCCCTCCTTTCCCATAAGTTGAACTTCGATTCCCCATCGGAAACCTTGGGAAAACCTGAGGCAAACTGTGAAAAAATCAAGGAACACGGAGCCCCTCCCCAACGCAAAGGGTTCCTTCTTCAAGACCCCTACTGTACCGATTTTGCTTGACAAATTCCCGTATCGGTCGGTCGACCGATCGGTCGCGCACGCTTTGGGGAGCCGGCCGCGCTCAATCGCGACCGAGTCGGAGTGCCCATCGGTGGCTGCCGGTCGCGGCCGAAAAAACAGATGGCACCCCCGAAACGGTCTGGGTCGGGGGCCCGTCCCCCGGAAGTCTGACCCCGTCCTCCAGGAAGTATGCTGCATCCTTAGTGGGCCCTGGAAGCAGCAGGGCCGTTCTGTTACCGGTTCCGTTCTGCCGTTTTTGTTTTGCCGGTTCCGACTCCGTTTTCTTACCGATTCCGTCGCCGTTTTTTGACTGGTTCCGGCTCCGGTTCCAGTCCTGGAGCCGTTTTTTGCCGTTTCCGGTCGCCGTTTTTGTTGCCGTTTCCATTTTCAAGGGACATTTTTTTGGAAACGGTGAAAAAACGGCCCTGCCGTTTCCGGGACCCACAAAGGCTGCATCCTGGGCAGATGTGTGAAGGTCCTGGTGCCAGCTGAGGGCTCCCCGAGGCCGAAGACGAGGAAACACCTGCGTCCTGCTGCAACGCGAGCATGTCTGGGAGTGACTGTTCCCCTCGGAGTCTGGGATTCGGCCCTCCCCAGGCCTCGCCTGGGGTGAAGTTCTGGCGAGAATCTCGAGCATCTGGCCGTGGCAACGAGGGCCTCCCGGGAGGCCAAACATGCCGAAAACGAGGGAAGGGCAGCGGCAACTGTCGGGGGCGTCGACCACGATGAGGACGGCGATCACGTCCAACTCGCCGACTACGACGAGGGCGACGACGATGCCGCCGACGAGGCCGACGACGCCGACGCCGACGAGGACAGGTACCATTTCCTCCTCTGAGATTGGGCATGCGGCCGCCCTGGACCGAATTGGAATCCTCTGCACTCCTCGCCCCCCTCGTGACGAACGAACAAAACAAACACAAACACACAGACACACAGACACACAGACACACAGACACACAGACACAGAAACACAGACAGACAGACAGACAGACAGACAGACAGACAGACAGACAGACAGACAGACAGAAACACAGACACACAGACACACAGACACACAAACACACTGACAGACTGACAGACTGACAGACAGACAGACAGACAGACAGACGGACAGACAGACAGACAGACACACAGACACACAGACACACACAGACACAGACACACAGACACAAAGACACACACACACAAACACCCATACCCATCGGATGGTCGGAGGGAGGAGAGCTGGTCAGGTGCGGGCTGTCGGACCCTGTGGCAGGCTCATCTTCGATCGGAGACCCCCATCCGACAGCCCGCACCCATACAGTCGACCCATCTCATGATGACGCATCATAAGGATGCGAGGGTCTTGGACGGCCGTTTCGAAGTTTTTCGGGCGGGCCGCGGCCGACGACGGTGGCCCAGGACGGACCAAAGAGGCAAGGATGCAGGAGTACCCTTGGGAAGGTTGCCCATCTTATGTAACTGTAGGCCGCGGAACGAGCGGGACTGAGCCAAATTAAACGGGACGAAGCCCGATGTTCCGGGATCGATCGGGATGCGACTGGATCTCGGACCAGGGCGGCGTCAGAATTTGCCCAGCCTTGCTCTGCGGGGGAACTCTACAGCCCCTTCCGTCCCACCTGTGGGCATTAGTGTGCTGTTCTCTTTCGTCGGCTCGCGCGGCGGGCCCCGCGCCTGCGCGGCGCCCTCGGCCGCCGCGGCGGCGTCCTGCGACGCGCGGGCCGCCGCCTGCGAGCACGCCTCGGCCTGCGGCGGCGACGGCGACGACGGAGGCGAAAGCCCGACGGCGCGCACAGGGCGGGAGGAGCAGGACGAGGACGAGGACGAGCAGGAGGAGGGGGAGGAGGAGGAGCAGGACAAGGTGGAGGACGAGGAGGGGCAGGAGGAGGAAGAGGAGGGTGAGGAGGAGGACGAGGAGGAGGAGGAGGAGGAGGAGGAGGAGGAGGAGGAGCAGGACGAGGCGGATGACGAGGAGGGGAGGAGGGAGGAGGAGGAGGAGGAGGAGGAGGAGGCGGAGGAGGACGAGGAGGAGCAGGAGGAGGAGCAGGACGAGGAGGAGGACGAGGAGGACGAGGAATGAGGACGAGGAGGAGGAGGAGGACTAACAGGAGGAGAAGGAGGAGGAGGAATAGGGCTAAGAGGAGAAGGAGCAGGACGAGAAGGAGGAGGAGGAGGAGAAGAGGAAGGAGGGGGAGGGAGGAGGGAGGAGGAAGAGGAGGATGAGGGAAGAGGAGGAGGAGGAGGAGACGAGGCCTCATGTCTCAAATTGACTGCGTCCGCGGCTGCGTGGACAGAGTCCTGCTCCAGAGGTCTCCTGGAGGGGGTCCGAGTAGACGGGGTCGGAAGAACGCGCCGCATCGAGCGATTGTCGGGGGCGCGCAAACATGGATTAGCGATCCATGGATTTGGCGCGCGGTCGCCAAATCTATCGGGGGAGGTACCCTCCCCAAAATGCGGCAGGTGCCGCCTCGCTCGGCGGCAAAGATACGCGATTTCCCATGCAAAGGGGACCCGTCGCTAATACATGCCCCCTTGATCCGTGTTTGCGATCGCCTGAGATTGGGGGGCGATGCATCCCCCCCTGTGCCCTTTATGCCGATCCCCCCCTGTCGTTGCCCCCGATTGGCATGTCCTCCTCCTCCTCCTCCTCCTCCTCCCTCCTCCTCCTCCTCCTCCTCCTCCTCCTCCTCCTCCTCCTCCCTCCTCCTCCTCCTCCTCCTCCTCCTCCTCCTCCTCCTCCTCCTCCTCCTCCTCCTCCTCCTCTTCTTTCTTCCTCCTCCTCCTCCTCCTCCTCCTCCTCCTCCTCCTCCTCCTCCTCCCTGTCGTTGCCCCCGATTGACGTGGGCCTCCGCTGTGCCCCCTCCGGGCGCCCCGCGCCCTTCGGCCCTCGGTGCCACGGGGGGGGGGCGCCTCCGCCCGGGCCGCCTCGGCGGCGCGCGCCGCGTCGGCGCGGACGCCCTCCATGGCCTGGAGCAGCTCCTTCTTTTCCTGCGCCGCGACACCCAGACAGGCTCGCGAGGAGGAGCAGGGGGAGGAGGGAGGAGGAGGAGGAGGAGGAGGAGGAGGAGGAGGAGGAGGAGGAGGAGGAGAGGAGGAGGAGGAGGAGGAGGAGGAGGGAGGAGGAGGAGGAGGAGGAGGAGGAGGGGAGGAGGAGGTGGAGGAGGAGGAGGAGGAGGAGGAGGAAGAGAGGGGGCAGGGAACGAGCCCAGCCAGGCTCGCGCGGGGAACGACAACGCCGGCACGACAGTGGGGGCCAGTCCACAAGAAATCCTCCACAAGAAAAAACCCAGCCCTGAGGCCCCAGGACGTCCATTGCTTTTTGATGTGTGGGAACGTCGCGCTCTCCGTCTCAAAACCATCGAAGCCCAAGAAACACAAGGCACCCCAGATCATTGGATACAAATGTTCTTCGGTCACGATCGGTAGCGACCGATCGACACTCCAAATCGGTCGCGACCGATCGCGAATCGGTCGCGACCGGTCGCGACCGATCGGTCGCGACCGATTTTGAAGCACGGTCGCGACTGATACCGAAATCTGAAGCAACATCGGTGGCGACCGCTCTCGTCGGTCGCGACCGGAAACTGCCAGTGTCAACGGATCAAGGGCTCCCTGGCGGCGAGCAGGGTGTGTCTTGGCAGGGGTCTCCACGGTATGGAAACCCAGCCCTGAGACCCCAGGACGTCCATTGATTTTTGATGTCGCGCTTTCCGTCGCAAAACCCTCGAAGCCCAAGAAAACCAGGGCCGCCTGGCGGCGAGCAGGGTGTGTCTTGGCAGGGGTCTCCACGGTATGGCGCTTTCAGTCTGGGTGCTTGTCCGTCCCGATCGGGCTGGCCTCGGTTTATGTTGCTCCCATCGTACTTACGAACCGCATCCCAAACATAATTTCGATCACCCGGAAAAGTGTCGAAAGAGTGTCGACACAGTGTCGAACGAGTGTCTCCCAGGGCCCGACACTTGGAAGCCCTCGAGTTTCGGTTTTCTTTTGGTGCTCGAAATTCTTCCTGGTGATCAAGGCTGAAAGTAGGTTGGAACAACATAACCCTGGAGGGGTGCATTTGGACGCCCGAAATGGGTACGGGAAAAATGGGTACAATGCCCAACAACAAGTGTTGTCCCAATCCAACAGCGGCCGCTGTTGGGCAGGCGGCCTTCTGCCTCGAATGGACACAGGCCGCGGCGGCGCGGACAGCGAGAACGGGAACTGCTGTTGGGCATTGCACCCATTTTTGTCCGTACCCCTTTCGTTCGTTGCAGGGTGCATCTTGGCAGGGGTGGCGCTCCCAGTCCGGGTGCTTCTGCCCGTCGCGCTCGGGCCGCGGGCCACGGCCGGCCCCGGTGCGGCTGTCTCTTGCTGTTGCTGTTGCGCGGCTCCCCTGCGCCTTTCGTGGGGCGCGCCCTCTCTCTCGCGCGACCACGGCCAGGCGCCCACCTCGAGGGAGGTGCCGGCCAGAATGAGGTCGGGCGTGTCCCCCTGCAGGGGGATTTTGGATGGGAATTTGAAAATAGTCAAAAAATGCCCCCAAAGGGCAAAAGAAACGCGAAACATGATTTCCATACTTCTTGAAACAAACACACACACACATATATATATATATATATATATATATATATATGTGTATGGATAAAAAAGAAAGTACATTAAAACCAAACTATTTTACAATCTTCCTCCTGTAGTTAGAGGGACAGGCCCGACTGAAGGCCAGAACGCGCCCGCGGACGGGGCAAAAGGCGATAGTCGATGTCAGACCTCAGGTGCCCAGCGGCCCGGCGACGTGATTTCTGCACTGCGGGCGGTGTTCCTCGATCTCTCGGCCCTCGGGGGCGCCTCCTCTCTCACTCTTGCCCCTCCTGGCCGTCACGCATGGATCAGTGACGGAACAAACCACACGGGGGAGGGGTTGGGACCCGTGGGGCCCGGGGCGGAACACCACCCCTGGACCAGAGGGGGTCAGAACGGGTTCAGGAGACAACTTCTGGGACGCAGTATTCGTGAGAACGGTTGAAGGCTTTGGTAGACCAGCGCGTTCCACTGCTCGCAAAAAAAGCCAATCGCATAAACGGCCTGGATCCGCCGAGGGGGATCTACGATCCATGACATAGACGGCAACATGTTTTTGTCCCGGACGTTTGCGAGTAGGCACTTTGCGAGTCGCGGAACACGCTCGGTAATTGGAAGCCACATGAGACGGGCCACTCAGATTCAGCCAAAGATTGAGACAGATTGGCCGGGAGCCAGCCCCGGACTCGGCGGGCAGAGCCCTTCCCAAATCACGGCAAACAATGCGTTGCTATTTTCGGTGTCTGGCGGCCCTCGCCGGGCCATAGGGCCGTACAGTCAACCGGTATCATAAGGACGCGCGGTAAGGATGCAAGGGCCTTGGAGGGCCACGTTAGCGTTTTTCGAACGAGGTTGGCCAGCGAAAGTCGCTAAGGATGGGCCGAAGGGGCAAGGATACAAGGGTAACCTTGGGAAGGTTGCCCATCCTTACTGTGCGGGTTGACTGTTAAGGAACGACTCAGGATGGGAAGCCAGTCCTGGGCAATAGGTCGAAACCTCCAGGGTCCGCGTGAAACAAATCACGGAGTGGATTCTGGATCATTGGATGCCGTTAAAATCCTGGTATCGGCTGCAACCGATTAGCTTCAGAATCGGTCGCGACCCCTCGGTCGCTACCGATCGCGACCGGAACATCATGGTATCCAAAGAATTGGAAGATGGGAATTGTGTAAGGCCCAGAAAAAATGACCGTGGCTGACGAGCCCACACCGCCGAGGCATGCTGGCCAGGGGCTGGAATCCTCGGCAGGGCTGGCCCAGGCAGCTTTTCCCAGCTTCCCTGCAGGATCAATGAGCATCGAAGAGGTGAATCGGATCGGCGTCGGATCGAGCCGGCATCAGCACGGGGTCAAAATCGAATTGGATCGGCCGCGCCAGGATGCACACCAGCGCCATGAGCTTCTCTTAGTTAGTCGGGGAGGGAGGAGGGGCCCTCCCCGGCTTCTTTGATGGCGACCACCCCGTTCCGCTCGAGGATGTTCGATGATCCTCAGATCGTGTGGCGACCATCCTGATATTGGCGACCTTTCTCGTTGGGCTAGAGTCGGCGCTGCAGGTGGTCGTCGCGGCAACTCCCGCGGGGATCTCATGGGGATTCTTGCCAAAAGCTCTGCCAACGCGTGCTTGCCCAAAGAAGCCGTTCACCACGACATGGGCGGGACAATGCGGGCCGACGCTGGCCGCGCACTGTCGGTGCAGCTGCACAGGACAATGACACCTTAGGACCATCGCTCCTTCACAAGACCCCTGCTGTAGCCTGACCCAGGCCAGAATAGCATCCTTCAGGACCATGAGACCCTCCGCCGGCCAATGCGCACAGAAAATCCAACGGTACACCCCCCAAGATGCAGAAGCACATCCAGCAAGCACGACGAACACCAGGGTACCTTCCCCCCCCGAACCGACCTTGATCTTATGCCCCAAGGCCCCAAGACTCGAGCAAGGGATCGACTACAGAACTGGTCTTTGCAGCGAAATAGAGGTCTCCGCCGAGTCTACAAAAACAAACCGCATGTTCCGTAGAGTTACGCAGCATCCTACCCATTTCTCGTAGACTCAACGGAAGAGCAATTCTGGGGTACATCGAGTTTGGGGTAGATGAATGTGGGAGAATGTCCATTTTGGGGAAGATCCAAGTTGGGGGACATCAGTGTTCTGTTCTGTGATCGAGATCCCCTACGTACTCGAAAAGGACGGGGCAGCAGACGGCCCCCGAAGGGGTGGGTGGGGCTGCCCGGGGCCAGCAGGGAGGGGCTGGCCTGCGAGGGGGGGGGGGAGGGGGGCGATGCCCTCGCCCGTCTCCCAATCCTCCTCCTCCTCCTCCTCCTCCTCCTCCTCCCTCCTCCTCCTCCTCCTCCCCTCCCGCGCCCCCGTCCCCCCCGTCCCCCCGTCCCCCCCGCCCCCCCCGTCCCCCCCGCCCCCCCCGTCCCCCCCGTCCCCCCGTTCCCCCCCGTCCCCCCCGTCCCCCCCCCCGTCCTCCCGTCCCTCCCGTCCCTCCCGTCCCTCCCGTCCCTCCCGTCCCTCCCGTCCCTCCCGTCCCGTCCCGTCCCCTCCCGTCCCTCCCGTCCGTCCTCCCGTCCCTCCCGTCCCTCCCGTCCCTCCCGTCCCTCCCGTCCCTCCCGTCCCTCCCGTCCCTCCCGTCCCTCCCGTCCCTCCCGTCCCTCCCGTCCCCCCCGTCCCTCCCTCCCCCCTCCCCTCCCTCCCTCCCTCCCTCCTCCCTCCCTCCCTCCCTCCCTCCCTCCCTCCCCCTCCCTCCCTCCTCCTCCCTCCCTCCTCCTCCCCTCCTCCTCCTCCTCCTCCTCCTCCTCCTCCTCCTCCTCCTCCTCCTCCTCCTCCTCCTCCTCCTCCTCCTCCTCCTCCTCCTCCTCCTGGCGGGTTGCAGTCACGCCACCACTCTCATGCAGGTTCTACTTCTCAGGCCCCTGCAGAGGCTCAAGAGGGAGTTCGAAATTGTGGTGCCCCGAGGCCTCATGGATGATGTTTCCTTCCAGTGGGTGGGGGCGAGGGCCGAGCTAGCTGGGATGGTTTTTAATGCTGTAACGGCGTTCGCCGGCTACACCCGCCAGCTCGGCGTCCTCATCCAGGCCACCAAGTCGGGGTATATTGCGTCGTCCACAGAGGCGGCTAAGGCTGTCAAGGCCCGCGCGTCCAGGCTTGAAACAGTTCCAGTCAGCCAGGAATTTAGGCCACGACACCTTTGGTGGTGGCATTGCCCGCAGAGTCCTCGAGAGGAAAAGGTTGGGTACCGTTTTGGGGAGGCGGGGTCGCCTTCGTACCCTCGGGCGCGCGGCCGGTCTGGCTCTGTGGCGCACCGGTATCATGCCGTTGGGCAGTCACGGAGCTGGGGTCGTTGGTCTCACTGACGCTACCCTCATGAAGCTTAGGTCGTTTGCGGGAGAGCTGGTAGGCGCCAGGCACGGTTTGGCT